ATAATCCCAACAGGTGGAAGATTAGTTAGACTGTAGTGTGGATGTATGCAAAAAGAAAAGAAAACAAAGGATGACCTGAGTCACACCACCACAATCAGCACACAAGAATACAGGCCAGTGTAACCACAATCAGTAGTGGTACACGCACCCACACAGAACTGCTGATACTGCTGCTGCTGTCTGCATCACCCTTCTTGTTGTTTGTGAGTTCAGGAGGAACTGTTGTTGTTGTTGTGGTGGTGGTAGTGGTGGTGCTGGTTGATTCCTCATTATTGGGTGCATTGGAGGTGTCAGGGTTCGTATTTGGTGAGTTATTCGGTGTTGCGTCTGCATTTCCTCCAGCACTTGGGTTACTTGCTGATTCATTCTCTCCAGATGAAGTTTCATTCCCAGCCGTTGTGGTTTCTGATTCTCCTTTAGTTGGTGTGGCTGAAGTACTGTGAGAAGTGGTTGGCGTACTGCTGTCAGTGGATGTAGATTGTGTGAAATGACCTTCGTGAGGTTGTTTAGTATTGCTGGCTGTACTGGGTCCACTTGGCATACCAGTTTCCACGTTAATCCTCTGTGTGCTTCCATGTCCGCCTGAATTCCCTTGCCTTGTAGAATGGGATAAATCTTCACTGCCTGGTTCTTGGTTCTCGTTTTCTTTACTTTCCTCATTCCTCCCTGCTTGCCCACCTCTACCTGTACCTTCAGTCATCTGTTCAGTTTGCTCTCTCTCTCCTTCCTGTAAATCACCACCACGACCAGAAAGAGAGGATTGCCCATTTCCCAGTGATGGCGTGGTTTGTGGTTGTGTACGTACGTCAGTTTCTTGTTGTAACCGTTGACCATCTTTTAGAGGCAATGCCTCTGCGGGTTGTTGTGGGCAAGAACCCGTTTTCTTTTGCTCATCAGCACACTCTTCAGTTGTTTCTGTCGCCAATGCTTCTGTGTTAAGATGAGCCTCAGCCGGCAAAGCACTACGAGCACCAAGTACACCGGTATCCTGAAGATTTGCACCTCCATCAACAGCAAGCACAGATCCGAAAACGCAACATAGTACAAGAACCAAACCACACAGCACGTGACGCATTATCATCACTGCAATAGTTAGTGTTACTTTTTTCTCGTACACCTATCCTACAGAAATTATAAGAGAATACAATAAACACTCCAATCAAATAACAATACAATGCACGAAACACACAAAAACACAAAACTACAAAACACAATCATACAGAGACATACTAGATGGACTCAACACAGATAATATCCAGTACAGAGCAGACCCATCACAATTAAATCAAAAAAAACCCTAATAGCACAAAGAACAGAACAACAACACAAACCAAAGAGTGCCAATGGACTTGTTGGTCAACATATACCACCTACGAAAAACATATAGATATATATTATTTGTTATTTTTCTCTCTGCAGAAAAAAAACAGACAACCAACAGGGTTCAGGACAAAAAAAAAAAACACAAATTGAGAGACGCATCAACCACACCAAAATAACTCACTGACCACTGAGTATGTTGGTGTGTTCAAGCAATTAAGAATGCTAATTGTATTAACTACTATTTTTTCTTTGCTCTGCATTAAGCAGAATACCAAAACCGTGCAGGGCAAAAAAAACACAATGACCCAGCAAATCACAAGCAAAAAAAAAAGATTTTAATCATAAGCCCAATTTACCCAGTAAACATAGAAATACACCAACTATGGGTATAAGTCCATATGTGTGTATTTACGCAATTATAAATATAAATTTATCTGTTATTATTATTATTATTTTCTTTTCCTTTCACTGCAAAAACCAATTCATCATCATCATTACAGTGCAAGCCCAGGTGCACACACACAGAGAGAGAGTCTCCAAGAACACACACCCACACATACAATGGAGTAGCAATAATAAATATTATAGGATAAACGCATAGAGAGAGCAAAAACACACACAAAACACATTAACATTAAGAAACACAAAAAAGAAGAAGGTAATCCAAACAGGTGGAAGATTAGTTAGACTGTAGGGATGTATGCAAAAAAGGAAAGAAAAAGAAAACA